AGAAATGGGCCTCCCCCGCATTTTCTGCGATTCGTCATTCAACATGCATGTCTCGCCGGTACATTAGCCGACCGACCGATGCTCCGAAACTTCCTCTCAATGTTCAGGAAGCTACTGGATTGCTGACTCTCATTAGCATGGGTTCAAATAATAAAACATCGCGATCACGGTTTGGTGAGTAATCCCCTCAACACATGTGCAGGATTCAGAATTCCGAAGTCGATCACTCCGCTAATTTGTGCAGGCTGTCGCACCTGTCGTGCCCGAAAAGTGAGAAGCTATCCTTCTGCAGGGGGTCTGATATTCTAAAACAAAAAAATGACAGGTCAAATGTGACGAAACACCTGGCGAATGCGGCAACTGTATTCGATTGCGGCTGGTTTGTTCCGGCTACACAACGCCCTCCCAAACAACTGGGGGTGAAACAGACCCGCGACATTCTGCGAGAGGGAAAAGGACATATCGTTCTTGCACGGCATGCCGTGCTTCGAAGACCAAATGCTCTGGTGAGCGACCATGCCGCCGATGCCGTTGGAAATGTTCAACCGAATGTGTTTACGCCGAGTCCACACAGCCCACTTGGGTACGCAGAGTCAACGCGATCCCGACACGCGACACAAACTTCTCTCCATCCCTACCCTCCCTGCCTGAACGATCTTTCGAGCAAACACCATCTAGGCAAGCCAGTCCGCCTAGTTTGACTGGGATGCTGTCTATGCCACAACAGGCTTTCCCCCTACAGGAAAGCACCCGGAGTTCATCATCTCCACTTGAATGGTGAGCTCTAAAGACTTTCGCTAATTTGTCCCTCTGTTGGGCTTCCGCTCACTCGCTGCAGGTTGACTACCGATTACCTTCCCAGTTCATCGAGAATTACGAGGCTAGTCGAAGAGTATTTTAACCATATCCACCCTCTACGTGCCTTTGCCTTCATACACAAACCTTCTTTCCTACAACGGTTGGATGGTGAAGTTTTAAAGAACCACCAGAATCATGCTCTTTTACATGTTATCTGTGCATTAGGAGCCCAGTAAGCCCAACTAACCGACTTTCGGAACCAAAGTGCTAGGCTTATGGGTTTTAGGTTTTATGCTCTGTCATACAGCGAGACGATAGCTCCACTTGAGGCCAAATTTGTACTTCTTGCAGGCACGCAATGGGCTAAAATATCCCAACGACTCATTCTTGAGACCATAGATCGTGTGACTATTGAAAGTCTAATGGTGCGCTCTGCAGACCAAGCTCATATATACCGCAAACTAATAATTTAGCAAGGCCGCCGTTCTGCTTCATGATTATGCGGTTCGATTGGGGAACTTCGCAAACGCGTTTATGCTGAGCGGACTTACTACACGGATGACCCAGGCCCTCCAGATCAATCTTGAATACAACACCGACATCCTCTGCCAGGATACCGATAACGGTCTTCCAGTCACAGCAAAGGAGTCTCGTCGGCGGTTGATGTGGAGCTGCTATATAATGGATGCGCTTGTTGGCAGCGGAGTAGACCAGCTGACGCTGATGGATGAAAGAGATATCAAAATTCAACTTCCATGCAATGAGCGCAACTTCAGTCAGCAAGTCCCCTGCCTCACAGAATCTTTATATCCTGGGAGTTGGCTCAAAATCCTACCGGAAGATTTAGATACTAAGACTCTGTCGCCCAACATGGGAATAATGGCATATTTCATTCGACATATCTCAATCCGCAAAAGGGTTTTAAGGTATTCTCAGCATGAAATCTTCTTTTCCTTTTCTTGACACTTACTTTTGAACAAGGTATATCAAGCATTTGGGAGATGCTATGGTTCCATGGGACCCTGCGTCGGAATTTGCGCTTTTAGATGGAGATTGCCGGGCATGGTACGACTCTCTACCAGCGAGTCTACAATTCACACCAGATGCAATGTACATTCGCAAAGAAACCTCTCAATTAGGAGCCCTATGCTTGCTCCATTGTGCGCATTATCAAACTGTCTGCGACCTATATCGACTGGGTGCCCCTGCGCTTTACAAACTCCGAGCTGCTTTCGACTTCCCTCCTGAACAAGCGGACTTTCTTCAACATCTTCAACAAGTTCTCTTTGATGCAGCTCGGGCTTTGGCAACTATCATTGGCCAGGCGGCTGGGCATGGCCCTCAAATGTTGGCAGACTCCTGGCTTCCCACCATCGCGTATGACAGCTGCCGGATCATGGTATATCATTTGACTCAGATCCTTGATCCGCGCTCCGAGAATGCAAAGGCGCTTGCACTGGCTACCATTCCCCTCCTCCGCAGTAATATCAACGCACTGAAGTCAATGGGATCACTCAATGCAATCGCTAGTACACTCGTCAGTCATTTACACCCTCCAATTTTGAATGGGACTCATCGCTGATCTACCTGTCAGTCTTCTGCGGCGGAAACAATGCTTAATCGTTCTGGTATTGAGTCTGAAGTGGTCAGGCAGAACATCATACCCGATGATCCATATCAGTCAACCGAGGAGGAAGACACGAGGTAAAGGTGGCAGTTTCTTGAAGATGGTCTTTACTTGCTAAATTTGAATTACAGTGACAATCTTCGAGGGTCCCCAGTGCAAAGTGCGCCGGACTACGTCCTCAATCCGCTGACGATTTTCCGAATGGCGCGAAAATCTATACCAGAGCGCCATGCTCCGGAAAGGGCGAGCACTACGTCCGCACCTAGTAGTGTCCTTCCTGAAAACAGGATCGACATTGATGGTTCCCCTTGTGAGGTTGTTAGTGCCTCCAGGACAGAAAATGATCCGCCTGAGTTACAAGTTGGCCAAGCGAGCCTTGAGGAGCTACAAACATTATTCATGTCCGATCTCGGATGGGCGTGGCAGCCCGCAGACACGGCAGTTGGATCAGGAACGGAGGGCGCTGGACTCTTGCCATGGGCAGGTGGATATCCCATCGCTCAAGCCCAACCCTGGTTGCCTGTGTTTCCATTCCAGCAAAGCTGAGGGCATGGGTACTTCCGAGTGATCTCTGTTATTTTTTATCTATGGCACCATTCTTACCCTTCAAAGCACGTTTAATCCATGAACCCCAATCAGAAGAGTAGGCCTTGAAATAACAGCTATAATTCCATACTCAATAGGTTGATAGTCGATACAGCGATCTCCACTTTCACTCCGCGTCCAAGGGACAGACAGGAGGAGTGTCATTGACCTGGATGCCTCCTCGTTTCTTCTCCAAAGTATCGTGGTACGGAAGCTTCCATCCTCCTTCTGATTCCGGGGCCGACAGCCAAAGTCGCATCAAATGCCGTCGTCGAGCAAGCTGGCCATCCTCATCAACCGCCCCAGGTGGATGATCCGTGTAGGCAGTTCGTGCATGGAAGACATGTGTATTACTCAGGAATTGGATATCACCTGGAGCTAGAATCATGTGCAGTGACAGCTCAGCGCAGGTCTTCTCAAATACCGCCAGGGCATGTTTCTGTCTGTCGGACAAGGGGGGTATGCATGCATCAGGCCCTGAGTTGAAACGCGCTAATGATGTCACGTTCATAGGATCGAACCTTGCGTAGACTCGTGGGCTAGAGCTGCTGGTATCGTTTTCGAGGTAGAAGATGCTACCTCGAATCCACTCTTCTTCGCCTTCGGATGTCTCACCTTTCCGGTCGAAATACCAGTCGGGCTCACATAGTGTTCGTACCACATCGGGGTGTCTCTCCTGTAGTACATTGAATACATGGTGCGTGGAGGCAATGTCCGACTCCCCGCCAGACAGAGATTTGGCAATACAAAGGAGCCCAACAAGGTCGGCCCCATCCGTGTGGAAGTATTGACTATCAAATTAACTTTTGATCCATATCCACTATGAGGAGTGACATACCGAGCATTTGTTCGATAGATTCGAACTCTGTCAGTTTTGGTCGGATCTTCTCCTAGATCCTTCACATGGCCGAGGACATGACCTCGGCCGTTTTGACTGACGAAGTAGCCTAAGTATGTGCCAAGGCCCATATAAGCTGTTGCACACTTCTGGAGATCCCACTTCCGCACAGGGAGTCCTCTGAAACGAAAGAATCCTTTTCCATTAATCAAATCTTGTCGAAGCGCTTCCAGCCGCTCGGACAAATTGGGCAAAGGAAAATTGGCCTGTGGACATGTCAGTTTCCACAGGTCGTATTTCTCGCGGATAATCTCACCTTTGATATTCCAGTCAAAGGGGTTCCACTCTCAATAAACCGGTCTGCAACATTGCCGATCTCTGCAATCTCATTTGCGGTGAATTCATGCGTCCAAAGTTCAGGATGTTCGCGATAATCCTCAGGTTTCCACACTGTAGGCCCGGTATGAATCTTCGGGAAATCGGCATAGGGCCGAACTTGTGAATATACCGGGGGGTGCTGGCCAGATGTTTTGAATCCATCTGGGAACACAGAGAGCTTGACGGGCCGTGAGAGCGTCTGTGAACCAGTAGCTTCCACTAGTCCGGGGGCCATGGTTGGGATTTGACCTGAATGAATGATAACGGTATTCTTAGTGCAGGAATCTGTTTACCAGTGTCCTTTAATGAGTTTAATCTACCAACGGAAGTAGATGTTGATCGATATATATACTCTCTCTCCGCCGGTTTCTCGGCTCGTCGTGCCGATCGGTTTCGGCCTATCGCTTCATTGCTGGTCGTCCCTCGTCCCCCACGATTTGCATCAAAGTCCACGTTCAATTCCCAAAGGATGGAAAGAACACAATTACAGCATCAGTACACTGGTCAGGCTCCAACCAATGTCTACGGCCATGTGCATTTACTGAGGTCACAACCCGCACCCCAATGCTTGCTGTGACGGCTTGTCGGCTAACAAGCCGAGATATGCCCAACTAGCATCACGCAATACACATCCATATAATCGCCAGATCTGGCGAATTAGAGAGTTGGGAAAGGAAATCCATCGGCCCTGTGGCAGTTATATCGGAATTTGGAGAGTGGTATATGTATGCTTCAATGAACATATACTCCGATCGAGTTCCTGAATGTATCGTTTCAATGGGTTTTGGTCAAGCCTCCAGCCGATGCCTCGATATCCGGTCGCTTAGTGCCAGCTCGGTCTGAGCACGCGGACTTCAATGAGTTACTCCGAGTTCTCTCCTCATCATACAAAGGTAGAGTGTTTAGGTCGACAAGGTACATGTACCAATAATAAGTTCCTGTGGTTTTCATCAGTCTAGCTGCTTTGTTTGTGAGAATGGGTGGTACTGACCACAAAATATACCTCCACCGATGATATTTCCTAATAAGGTTGGGATGATACCTTTCCAGACGTACAGGCCAATTGTAATCTTTGGCGCTCCAAGCCAAATCCCCAATGGAATGAATGTCATGTTTGCAACGACGTGGTCGAAGCCCAAGGAAACAAAAGCGAAGGTGGGCAACCAAATTCCAATAACTTTGGAAGCCAGATCACGACCTTGGATACCAAAGAAGCAAGCTAAACATACTAACCAGTTACATCCAATGCCACGCAGGAATATCATGTGAAAATCAGGAGTGACCTGCTTTTTTGTAGCAAAAGAAATAACAGCGGACCTGAACGGCTCTGCGGAAAAGGCATTTCCATCTATGGAACATTAGCCACATCGCCTTATCGCAATAGAGAAGCGAAATCCCTACAGCCGAAGATGATAGCCACGATGAATAAAGATCCGGCGAGGTTTCCAATGAACGTCACAGCCCAGTGAATCAGCATTCTTGGCCAAGGTAGGCGCCGATGGAGCACTGCTAATGTAGTAAACTAATACACATTAGTCACTGGCTAGTCTGCACCAGTCCGTGTTATGCGCAGACATACCATAAATGATCCAGTGCAAAGGTCCGCACCTGTTAGGAGGATCATACACAGACCGTAAGGAAACACCAAGGCGCCGATAGTCCGTATCAAACCTGGGGCATTGTCCTGAAACCAAGGTGTGGCAGTGGTACTAAGAGTAGTCCCGCAAGCGAATGCAAGTAAACAACCAGCCGATACTGCACTAAAAAACACCTTGTCCAGCCGCATATTCCCCTTATGTGCCCCCGTTCTTGAGACGGCCTCAGTCACCTCTCGAGGAGAGAGTGCATCAAAACTCATTTTGATCAGAAGACAATCGCAGTCTGGAGATAATGGTTTGATGCTTCCGAAGGATATATAACCCCAGAGAGCCAGGAAAAATATACCATTTTGGCAGGAAAATTCCCTGCAATGAATGGCTTATCTCTCGCACCTCAGTGGAAGTGGAATCCCGAATAGTTCCCGCGCTCGGCTGTTTCAAGGCTAGACTTATTATGATTATTGAACTCAGATAAGAGGTCTAACATTGTTGACACGATCACTAATTAGCGAATAAGTGCACACTGCAAAGATCATCGAGTCAAAAGAGAATGAGTTATCTGAATTAAGGGTCTTGGCGAGATAAGGATTGTTCTCGAGATCCTACATCTCCGCGGACCTATGTTATAGTTAATGGTAAATACCATATGCGTGCTATTCCGTACTACCTCCCTGTTGACTTAATAAACAAAAATGTGCGATCTGAGGGAATGCAACTATCTCGTGAACACGACCCCAGAGCTTAGTGATTGGCTTAGACGGAAGCAATCACGGACCTCAGATTGGACGGGCGGCTCCCGAGGTCCGGGGAGACTATTGGTCAAGAAAGGTTCCAAGTCCTTTCCTTTGGTACTCCGTAGTCCTCGCAGAATCCCGGCTAGAAAAAAAGCAAACGAGCGTTACATATCGCAATACTCCGTAGTGGTCGAAGGATTATGCGAAACGCAATCCCACGAGGACCCGACTACAGCGATCAAGAGATTGACCACATATGTCGCGTCTTATCCTACTGAAGCGCCATGTAGCACAAGAGCGAGCCGAGCACGACACCAGTAACAAGAGTGCGCACGCAAGAACTGGAGTCATGATTCACTCAAAGTCGCGATATCACATGTATCAACGTGGAGACATCGAGACCTCTTCCAGGTTGTTGGAAGGAAAATGACAAGCCATGATTCATGGTAATGAAAAAGGTATTTATAATATGGAAGAATTTGTGAATGATCGGGCTTTGCAAAGAATAATTAATCAGCGCGTCCTCGATCTTGTTTAACTAGTTAGTTAACGTATTTCACAAGCGAGTGGCCACTACAAGCGAGTGGCCATCTCCAAAACATATAGTAAATGCGATAAATTACAACTTGATATCTCAACAACGGTGGTCTATAGGGACTTTTTATTT